GACTAAAGTCTGACTTACAAGTCAAAGTTAGTAAAATGTACTGGGAATTCCCCGTCAAATACTTCATATCATCAAGACTTTTTAAATCAAAGTTTTTTGTAACACCCTTGACATTGGAGTTATCAAGATTCTTCTGTATTTATTTGTAATGTTTTGTAAAGGAATAGCTTAAAGGTTGGCATGAGTTGTACGCGACCGTGAGGACTTGGCACCAAGCGGTCATTAACAACACAAAACAATTGTTTTTATTCTACCCACAGCCGCGCAGCCATCAATTATCTACAGTGACTTGTATTTAAATATTTAGATTAAATTGTTATGTTATATTTAGCTTTGTCTATTCACATCTAAATAGAAATCGAGATGTTTGTTTGTTTAATATGTTTGTAACGTTGTATCCCGAAGATGTTTTATTGAAATACGATTATATTTAATCTGGATTATCTTTAAAAATTCTAGTGTCTTCTATTCTGTTAACGTATTCCAGTTTCTTTTTTTTAATTTCTACAGATTGACTCATCATCAGCTCACTATACGTCCCCACCGAGGGGTTCGGAGCCTACTCTAAGTTAAGGGAGATAAGGCCATAGTCAACCACGCTGGTCAAGTGCGGGTTGGTTGACTTCACACATAACTTTGAATTTATTCTCAGATATGTGCATGTGCAGGCATCACGATGTTTTCCTTCACCGTAAAAACATCGGATAAATGTACATATGTAAATCGGAAATCGAAAAACACATTGGTATACATGGAGGGATTCGAACCCAGGACCTGCAAATTTCAAGTCGAGTGCTTGACCCCTGAGCCCAGATTGACTATTCGCTTATATTTAATTTAAGCATTAGAAAAAAGTCAGTTCTTTTCACGTTAACTTTTGGCGCACCGAGTAGTCACGTCATAATTTCTTCAAATACGCCCTCGACTACATTCAACTATGAATCTAAGCAACCTATGCTTCATAAAACTCATAATTTTATCAACATTTCATAATACAATAAAGAAAAAATGTTGCATAATTAAGGAAAACAAACTTTAAACTGTTTTGGATGCTCTTGGTTAAAGTTGTCTCAACATTTATACGCCACTCGGCTGAATCATTTCAAGTGTCAAAAGCAGACTGAATCATATTACTCGAGTACATTCGTGGTATGAAAGTTACTGAGTAACAACTACTGAGAAATAAAGACAGAAAACCGCAATAACATTTGACAGATGTCCTATAAAGCTACTTATAAAACATAGCCTACATTTTTATGACCACGAACATAAAGGATGTATAATTGTCAATACAACCTTGTCGTAACAATCTAAGAAGTTTTACGAGTAACGCGCTCTGCATAATTTTGCCCTGATCTATGAGATTGCCTTCATTTGAGTTTTATCTAAACTACTTTTATATATTAATAATATAAATGCGAATGTATGGATGTTTGTTACGGGGTATCTCCAGAACGGCTGTATAGATCTCGCTGAAATTCGACATAGATGTAGAACATAGCCTGAAGGCAGACATAGGCTACTATTTGTGTCGGAAACAGAAGCGACTACATATACAGAAAAGATGTACTTATTGGAAATGGTCATTAAATATTTTTTTTAATTATAATTTGCAGCTTTTGTGTCGAGTTGTGATGTGTTGATCTAATAAAAATTAGTAAATTGTTACGGGAAATTAAAAATATGATATCACTAATGTTAAAATCAAAATACAATATATTTTCTCGTTATAAAGATTTTATTTTTAAAAATTCAAAAAGATTAATATAATGTTTGATTTGACGGTCAGTTAATAAACGTAACCTTTCATACATTAATGATTTTGACAACTGTTGAAAATCAATGTAAATGATTACGGAATATTAAAGCGTATAGACATAATGTCAACAGTTGTGTTAGCCAACTTGTAAACCATCGCGGATACGGTTTGCACAATATGAAAATAGTACAAACCGCAACACCTTATCTGGTTAACATTAACTATTATATATGCTACTATTATTAGAAATTCAAAGATATATGTGAAGTCAACCAACCCGCACTTGGCCAGCGTGGTTGACTATGGCCTAATCACCCTTAACTTAGGGTAGGCTCCGAGCCCCTCGGTGGGGACGTATAGTGAGCTGATGATGATGATGATTATATATGCAACTGCAATCGTACTTTTTAAGTAGAAAAAGGCTAAAATGTGTTCAGTTTTAAATATTGAAGTACTTTGTGAATATTGAAAAATGTCGTATTTTCTACGCATATATTTGCGATGTAGATGACGAAAAACCGATTTTTTTATTTTAGTTTTCTCTTGTTTGTCTGTACAAAGCCGCGTTTGTTGACGATTTTGACGTCAAGTTTGCAGGTGGGCATATTCAACTCTATTTTATTACTGCTGACGATGTTGCGGGTGACCGTTACTTACTAATAAATCTCTTATTGTTTAAGTCAAATATGTAAAACTACTTGAGTTTGAACGTCCGAATACCAGGCGCCATTCTTAAAATCGAATGCTAATAATTTTGAGTACGGCTTTTGTTTATTGCTAATTTATTCATTTGAATCTCGTTCGTAGACAGTTGTTTTAGAATATCGATATATTCTCAGCATTGTCTAGATTTTTTAAACGAAACAATCGTGATTAACAAGATTGATGACAGATATAGAAAATGTCATTCATAAAAATATTTATGTCACAATTAATTTGTAGAATCGGACATAACGCAAAACGACTAAATGCGTGATAACGTACTATTTGACGCATACACTGAACAACTCTTAGTACGTCCTAAATTTTGAAATTTCGGTGACGATTACGTAAACATAATATGTCATCACACAATTTCAATCAGCTTATAGTCATAAATTGTAAGAAAGTATACGCAAACACATTGTTACGGAAGAAAAAGTATTTTATTATACGAAAGGCCGTGAGAATCGTCGCCCCGCCTACGCGAAACGAATTCTTAGAACATATATCATTACAGTAAAAGATGTGTGCCTTTTTGTTTAATACGCACACATTTTTTTTGTTCAAAACCGGAATATTCACTTGACTAGTCTTATTTGACCCAAGTGATAGTATTACAGTCTTTTGACCTCAGGTGCCGTATTTATAGTCGGTACTAAAACAAACGTATATGAATAAATATTGTTATCTCTTTCATTCTATTTTAAAATAACAGAGATAACAATAATTCGAAATTCAAAAAACATTATTCGCAATCCAGTTTACACATTATTAATATAATTCGTTTCCTAATTTAACGTAACTAAAATGAGAATGTAAACCAAGAAATCCTATTGAAACTTAAATAGAATTTGTATGCAGTTGTATTATAAAATGATGTTATTACTATTACAATATCGTGGTACAAATCAAACATTGAATAAGTAATTTATTTATACGATATTGGAATAAGTGGTTCAGATAGGAGTCATAAAGCGATGTTAGCATCATCATAAAATACATATCCAGAGACAATTATCGTTGTAATATTTCTCGTAATAACAAAACTGAAATCAAGTCACGTACGAACGAGGCTCTTTCGTTCAATTAGAGGTTCTATCTCTTACCGCGATCCGCACCCATAAGGAAGAGGCATATCTCAAATTTCTAATCTAGTGACTCATATAATATGCGTTCGCGAAATTACATTTTCCTACATTCCATACTGGACATTGAAGTCATTTTCTTCTGTGTACACTGTTGACTATGCGTAGATACTTAAAGATAAGTCATATTTTAATATTTTGTATACATAAAAGTTATTTTACTGTTGATCAATCGTGTAAAAAATACTATAATTTACAATTGAATAGGCTCCGAAACTACTGAAATGAATTAAAAAATTAATTGTCTAAAATAATCTGTTGGGAAGTTACATTTGTCCTGGGTGACGTAGGCTAAACTTTTTTTTAATCCGCGCGGACGAAGTCGGTCGCTACTACAAAATAAAACATTAAATTACGCACAAATTTTGGTTCAAATTTTTGTAAGTAAAATTTATTAGTCAAAGAACTAAATTAGACCAATTGTTAAGTTTACCGTTAGAATTCTGGTTTTAAGTGCGCTATGAATATTGTCTGTGGGTGTCGACAATGTCTTCGTATGGCTACGGTGACGTCTATATTTGTAATTTGAACTTTCAAATAAGACCATTTGTCCACATTTAAAAGTAGCTTGAAATTCTTAGAACGCAATTTAACTGTACAGTGCCAAATCAATTTTAGTATGTCATTTTGTTCCAATTTATAAGTAGTTAGTTTTTGTACTAAATACAAAGACTAAAATATTAACCATCACACATCACAAAATTAAGCTCCGACCGACTTCCATTTTGTTAATTTGCGGATTAGGTAAGGTTAAAGAAAAATGCAAATTAAAAGGTTCATTTGCATAAAACAAAAAAGGTCCGTTCAAATGCAATAAGCAATAAAAAATATTGTCATAATCCCAAATTAATAATACGACAGATCATAATTTAGCACTAAAATCGCACCGACCCCGGCGAGGCTCGGTGAAACTGTAACACAATCACATATATTACATTTTTGTACGAATTTAATTGGCTAAGAAAAGAGCCGAGGCCGGTCGCAGCGGGGTAACATCCAAATATATTTAAAAAATCCTCAGAACTCTCCCATTACTTACGTCAAAGACGCAACAGGACGCGAGAGCACTTCTGCAATATTAAGCGTGAGATACGGCCTCCTTCGCACTGACCCACATTTCGAACCGAGCGCGATGCTCTTTATGATGACTTTATGAAAAATGTAGTTTTTAATTCTGCCCAGGGCCGGGTAAATTGAATACCAATACGAGGGTCTCCTTAACTGTAACGCTTATAAATTGCCATTTCTTATGAGAGACCGACGGAAGCCTGTCGATAATTTAAGCTAAATTAATGCAACCGCATATAAGAAATCAGTATCGTCATCTTTTCGCTAAAACGAATCGACCTTTATGAATTTACATATATTAAAATTGGAATTTTCTCTTGTTACAGTCCTTCTTCGGGCGGACATACAACAACTTATCATCGATATCGGAATGCAAGAATAATGGAGAGTGCGTCATCAACAAGAAAAATAGAACCGCCTGCAAAGCATGCCGCTTACGGAAATGTTTGCTCGTCGGGATGTCCAAGTCCGGTTCGAGATATGGAAGAAGATCTAATTGGTTTAAAATCCACTGCCTGCTTCAAGAACAGCAGCAACAGCATATACAACAAATGCAGACGAGTAAATCACCTCCTACATTTAATTCGAACATCAATCCGTCATTCTTACCTACGAACCTGCTCCCAGCCGCCGCATTGGCAGAATATTACAAGAGTTCAGAAAAGATACCCTTTAGCGAAGAAGTAACGAGACAAAGCGTCTCACCATCCGACTCCGGAGCTTCATCAGCGGATCCTGAAGATGATAACAGCTCGAGGAGTACCAGCGGGTTAAGTATTTTTAGACCAGCGTCATCTCCATGTAGTGAAAAAGATGTACGATTGCAGGCGCTTAGGAATCAAAGTAAAGAATTTCGGAGAAAAAAGCCTTCTACGCTGCCACCTTCTCCTTTTAGTACAGCTTCGGCTACACCGAGCTATCCTTCTAGAGGTACATCTTTTCTACCTTTACCGACCGCAATACAGAACTTTAGGTCAATTCCCCCTGGGGTTCCTGCGTGGCCGACGCGCAATGGTGGTGATCTCTTGCTCCATTCCCCTGCCGTAGCCGGCGTAGCTATAGAACAGGATCAGCCGATAGATTTATCTATAAAATCCACTGCAGTACTCTTCAGAAGTCCGAAGCGGGATGAAGTCAGCGATTCTGAACCAGAATTAAGTATTGATTTAAATGAAGATAACGGTAAAGACATTATGAAGAATCCTCTTGATTTAAGTCTTGTACCGAAACGGACAGAAGAAGTTCCAATGACTGGATGAGAATAGAATTTCTTTTGAGGATCACAAGGAAACATACCTTTTTATATTTTATTAAAATTATTCCTAATTAGATAAACATTTAAAATGACTATCGAATATTCTGCCATACAGTATTTAGTGATACGTACATTTTCTCTTCTACATTACCTGATCTTGCTACCATTATGTTTATATTGCTATAACTATGCTTTCTATCTTTTGAAATAATAGAATTATATATTTTATTAAACTATTGTATTATAAAACTTTGAACATAAAACTATATACTTAGTATAAATGAAAGCGGTTGTATCATAAATCTGAGAGAGTAATTGTAAATATAATTTGAATGTTAATGATAAATACATAATAGAGTTATGTACGAAGTGTTATGTACAATGTGCCAGTGTTAGTGCCAGTTTATGTAAAATGCCAGTGTTAGTTATATATAAACAATTATATTATATAATGGGATGAACGGCCAGTCGAATCGTGAAGCTCAAAATTATGAAATGTACAAATAAATTTAAGATAAATTGTATATTTTTGATTTGATGCAAGTTATCTAAGTATTTATTTTAGTATTTAGGCCAGTTTTCTGAGTCATATTAATTGATTAAGCAACATTTAGTATAATTTGTCAATATTTTAATATAATTAGTCGATTTATGTTTGAATTTTTTGTCTCGCATGTTAATATCGTTATTTGTTTCGTTTTTTTTTAGATGTTTTGATAATTTGATACATTCCCTTATGCCATTTAATGATGTTAATTTTTAATTTAATATTTACTATATACTTATTTGCTTAGACCTTTTCTATATCTAAAATAGGATTTCATTTGTCATAATATTTTTAGTTACCAAATGTGAAATACAAAAGTGCAATTAGCAAATTATAACAGGGCCGACAAAATACGTACTTAATGTTTGATATACACTGACCGAAGTTTGCAGACGACCGCTAAATGTGCTATCGAATTTGCGTTGACTGCTTAAATCTATTCGTGTATGTCAGCTCTAAAAGAATATAAAATTTACAGAAAAATATGAGAACATGAATACGCAAAAGAAATAGGTCTGATGTCTTTTCTGTCATACCAAAAGTACCCTTCCTATAGATGTCCCGTCTTATAGTAAAATCCTTGTTGAAAATAGTCGCGCTCCTCCAGCGAGTTTAGTTTTTGGTCAAGTTTAGTTGTGATTTCACGATTACAACTACACTCATCAACTAATTATCAACTAAAATATTTTTCAGAATTAAAAACACTAAAAAGAAGTTAAAGGTTTAGAAGGCTGTTTATTCAAACATACTAAACTTTAATTATAATTAAATTAGATACAAAAACAATCATACATAACTAATCTACATGATGATAAAAAATCCATTTTAGTCCGTGTCGTGAATTTGCAGATCATAGAATCCAAACAGAGGTCACAAAAAGAGACTTAAGATTTATAATTGGTGACTAATTGTCATTTAAGACTTTAAATAATTGTGTATTTTAATATGAACTTGTAGTAAAATTGTTTAAAGAGATGAAGTCAAGTCAATATTGAAAATGATGGCTAAATAAATGTTAACTCTAATACATTCCTAAGTTTACAAGTTACTTAAATAATTGGTTGTTATTGTTTTCAGTGTGATATTGATATTATTATGTGTTTAATATATTTTTTTACGTTTATAAAATAAATCTTAATATATTTCATGAAAGAATAAACGTGAGTGCCTTTATCGAGTCGTTTTATTTAACCCCTGTGAAAGCAAATTTAAGTATAACATAATTCGATACATCAACACTTTTTTTTTTACAGTGAGTGAAAGGAATCTTGTATAAATATTCTGCTAGTAAAAATCCATTACAATGATTTTATAATCTGCGATTCAAGTTTATTAAATACTAGCTGTCACCCGCGACTCCGTCCGCGCGGGTTAATAGAAAAACTAATTAACACCTAGCGTATGCGTTCTTCCAGACTATTTTTTACTATGCCAAAATTTAGCGAGCTCCATGCAGCTGTTCAGGACATATCTTCTAATAAATCAATCCACGCATTAAAAGTCGCATTTATAATATTAGTAAGATACTAGAATTACACACTCTTCTATCGAGAATGACTAGAATTATTATTATAAATTGTTATTGTGAGCAATAAGTAATAAATTATTGACTTGGATCAGCCCTTTATCCTTGTTTATGCGGATTAGATGCGGCCATCTTGAATTGTCATAAGATGTGAATAATTTACGCAAAATATTTAAATTATCAAATGGCCCTTTAATTATACAGTGTTAGCTACAATTAAAAGCATATTTATTTATCTTTATAACCGTTTAAGTATATAGAAGGCTACATAAGACTATATAAGATATAGTACATAACCATAAAGAAACTTAGACTGGGTTTCAATTACATTAGCTCATACATATGTTAACCATTTTATCGCACGCTATTTTACGAGAAATCATGATGATTAAAATTTAATTAAAATTTAAAACTTTTACTATTTGACCTGAAATATCATTAAGGCATTCATACGGCAAACCTGAGAGTAGACACGTAGAAAAATTTACTAGATTGAGCTAAAGGACCTACACAAATCTGCACCATTCAAGTCTTTGCCATTGTAGGTAAACTTTGCTTAAATTTTTCTGTATACATCATTATGTTCTTAGGTAATAACTAAGAACAGACGACAACGAATTTTCCATGAAATAATTGCCTCATTGTACTTTAATTTAAAGTTGTTTACAGACGAAGGAATTTTCACTACTCAAATAACACGGGTTTTTTTGACCGAGCGTTACATTTTAAAGGTTAATCAAGTAATATTAATTATGACATATATCGCAGTGATAATTTAACGTTACGCCTTACAACACAATCAGAGCAGTCAGAATGCAGAAAAATATAATGCACTCATTTGTAAACTCGTAACTGTCCACATATCCTAATAAGGCTTGAGCACAATAAAACCTTAACTGATTTAATTGATATTATTAAGTCTTTCCGTTCTCAAAGCGACACCTATCAAAGTACACTTCTTGCAAAATAAAATAGGCCTTAAGTATAATTAGATAAGGCGGAAATATGATTTTTAAAGACGCAACCAATGTAGCTGTGAAGAGATTTTTGTCACTCAATTCATGCGAAGTCATGTAGCAGAGAGGTAACAAATCATCATTTTTTCGAAACGACCGGCAGTCAGTCATTCCCCGATATAGCCGGGCTGTTTACGCGGGCGAAAAGAAATGTTGCTCGTTAGCGCAGATAATGGGAGCTTTGCATTATTGAGATGCGTACACTTCGGTGCAAAAGTGTTTAGATGTAATCAACAAATATTGTTTTATTTAAATAAAGCATATCAATTATATACCTTGCACTTACTCGAACAATTTCAATCAGCGGTTCCTATGCAGTGATCATAGTCGATAAATCAAAATCTACTAAAAAATAAAAAAAAAATAAACATATAGATATTATAAAGGGGAAAAATTTGATTGTTTGTTTTTTTTGCATAATAGGCTCCGAAACTATTGAAATCATTAGAAAAATTCTTTGACTGTTGGGAAGCTACACTATACCCGGGTGGTGTAGGCTATATTTCTAATTAGATTTTTTTTAATGCCGCGCGGACGAAGTCGCGGGCAACTGCTGGATAAAAACTTTGGCAACTTCCTACAATATCCATGTATTTTTCTCGTAAAATTCATAAAATCATTTAATTTATACAGCACTTTTCTTCTTGAGTATACCACCGAAAAGTTCCAGTTCTCGGGTCTGATTTTAACGAGGAAATATATCGGCCTAATTGAGATTACACCTCGTGCAGTTGAGCTCCAAAAACTCATGTCGTTATTCCATAGATGGCGCTGATTTATTAAGACATCTTCTGAATAGACAGCTCGAAAGTGGAGCACTCGGACGTATATTTTTCAACCGATTATTTTCGTATTGTGAGAAACGTTAAAATAAATGACAAAATACTGACATTTTATTTTTTGATTGCTATAAGTTGAAGAGATAAGTAATGTTTTGTTTCTAGTGAGTAATTATAATACTTTTGTGTAGGATGGATTATGCACCACCCACAGTCGGCAATAACACCCTTAATGCTACCTTTAGTCGTATTTTTAGTTTTATTGTAAAACTAGTGCATGAATTTATTTTTAATCTATCTATTACTCGCGACCACGCCCGCGCAAAAATAAAAAAATAAAAAAAGTATCCTATATGTTCTTCCAGACTATTTTTTTATATCTGTGCCAAATTTCATCGAGGCTCGTTTAGGTAACAATACGTAGTAACCAACGTCGACAATCCAAACTGTTGCATTTATAATATCACTAGCTGTCGCCCGCGACTCCGTCCGCGCGGGATTGAAAATAGATGTTGGCCGATTCTCAGACCTAATCAATATGCTCACAAAATTTATATTGTACAGGAACGAAAATTGTGACACGAGAATTTTATATATAAGTCTTTGATAATTTACTAGAAATGCAGTGAATTTTGTTAGACAACTCACATTTATTTAACATTGTTGTTTTTCAGCTAATTAATATGCATTACTTTATTTCCTAGGTGTGACAAGCGCTACGGGTGTTAAATTTAACATAGACAAATTATTATCTATTGTAAAAAAAACAATAGCTTGATATTGTTTCTATTAAATATTTATAAGCAAAATTGCATTAAATGTCAAATTTTAATGTAACCATCAACTTGATAATATGTATATTAAATTCTAGAAAACCACTTCAATAATTTTGCTTAAATTGTTGTTTTTGCAGAAATTTAAAATTTATGAACGCGCTAATACAACATAAAATGTGATTTATTTATTACTAATAGAAACCCGCTGATTTTTTATATGATTTTAGCAATGTTATTAATGCGCTTTCTATATATGTGAAATATTAAAACATGTAAATTTACTTTGTTTAGTCAAATTTACCTATCATCAATAACACTGCCTCTAGTGTTTTTATAATGCCGTAATTCATCATCAACGTCCCAACTGAAGGGCTCCGTCCTAACCTAAGTTAGATGTGACTAGGCAATAGTCACTAGCCCACTGCGGCTTGACTTTATTTATATTCAATTTCTTTACAAATATTTGCAGGTTGCATGAAGTCTTTCAATAAGATTTCAACAGAATTTATGTTGTTTATTTCATAAAATAAATTTCGACATACCTTTGTATTTGCTACAAACTTTAAAAAGTATTTATATGTGAAAGTTAATAATAGTTATATTTTATGTTTATATCCACTTACGAAGATGCGCAAAAATTGCCATTGAATGTCGCATTTCTTTTATCCCATGGTGAAATAAATACCCATAACATATCGAAATAGAGTTTCATAATACGTTCCAAAAGCCACCGAAATAATCATAAGAATCTTATTTAATTTCCGTTAATACCTAAAAGAGTACCGAAATGAAAATTACGAGTGGTTGTGACAGTTTTTTGCGCGACTCGCGGCGCGCACCAGCAAGAATATATAATACTAGCTGTCCCGCGACTTCGTCCGCGTAATATACTGTCTTTGGATGGCATTTAAATTGTTTAGGTTACATATTTCACTTATATAAAAACAAAACATATTAAACTCACAAAACATTCGCATAAACCTCAGAAATTCTAAAACAAACTTTTATTTTGCACATATTTTTTTATACCAAATTAACAGCGGAATAAGGTTCAAGATTCTATCTGTAACAATGACGATACTTTCATACAAATTACCAACCCCCATTTCAACCCCATAAAACCCCATTTCGCGATAAAGAGTAGCCTATGTTCTTTCTCGAGCTCTAGACTATCAGTGTACCAAATTTCATTTAAATCGGTAAAATAGTTTTTGTTTGAAAGAAGGACAAACAAACAGACCGAGTTGATTTCGCATTTATAATATTAGTAAGGATTTTCGTTCAAAATAATTACTGGTTTGTCACAGTGGGCAGTAAACGTCATATAAAATGCGTGAAAAACAACTCGAAATTTCGATTCAACTCTTTATCGTACGTAATGTCGTGTTCTTTGATTGCTTTAAAATTTTATAGATGTTTTTATTGAATATTTCTTATAAGAAATCACTATGTTAAAATGACTACCTAGTTTGGAAGAATTTGTTGATTTTTTTAATAAAAGTTAAACATTTAAAAGCATTTAATAACACCAGGTTTGTCCTGTACGTATCTTTAAGTAGAGAAAAGACACAAGAAAATATTGGAAAAAAGCTTAAGCATTTACACTAGCTATTTAAATTAGAAAAAGTATTATACTAAATTCATAGTTAAAGTATACTCTATGATGTGCATGTGAAAACATAGAGATTAAATAAAGCATAGAGCAGAAATTTAAAAAAAATATCCATAAAAATCTTACTATAATTTCATACATGCAAATGTTTGCCACACAGAAGACAGGCGTGAAGTGGAAGCAATGCCGCGTTTCGTCTGATGAGTGTGCGTCCCGGAGGCCAAAATTAGTCCTCTTTCCCTTATAAGGAAAGGATGGGAAGTGGAAGTGGACTTTCCGGATGAGAGGATGCATGGGAAGTGAAAATATTTTCTTTCTGTGCATCCTCTCCTCCGTCGATTAAAGGTAGGCAA